AAAAAGCTGCAGAAGATAATAAACGAAAGCAAGCTGAAGAACGATGCGTTGGAGTCAACCATTGAGTTAGGGAATATTTCGGATCAAGCACCATCCTTCGGCGCTATCACAAGATAAGGGGGCGTTCTCCTAGGACTCGGCCTGGAAGGGAGCAGGAATTTCGAGGGAAAAGGAAACCGCTCACGCTCCCTGGGTTCCCCACCTTCCACTGTAACTTAGCTTTCAGGAAAAAAAGAAGAGGTTTCACGTAGTTCCAAATGCAGTACCACTATAGTGCCCCTGTATCTTGCTAGGAAACATTTCGAATCAGGCACAATCCTTGGGCGCTATCGCAAGATAGAGGGCGTTCTCTAGGACTAAGCGTGGGATGCGGGACGAAATTCGAGGATGAAAATTGCCTTGGGGTTTCCGCACCCGGAAGTCCCCTAACCCCTCATCCTACTTTGGCTCAGTTTTTAGAAAAAAAAAGCTGTTTAAGGTGGGCAGTGCTACTGCAGTGCCCCTCTATCTTGCGATTGAGCCCAATACTTAATTATCTTCGATTTTCGGTTAATCCTCTGGTCCGCCACCCGTACCCTGGTCTATCATAGCCCTCTTTTCCGCCTACAAGCCACGTTCAATCTGCCATCTCTTACAACATCTTCTTGGCGGAAGTGGGGGAGGGGGGGGTATTGGGGTGGGTGATTAAGAAGTTATGATCCATTCCTCATGTCTCTCCAAATTAAAATACTACTTTCGCTCAGTACGACTCCTCTCCGTCCATCTCCTTAAATAAGAACCCCCCCCTTAATTTTGATCATCGTATTTTTGAACCGCGAAAATATTTTCGTGAGCCGGAAATCAATACAAACAACGCCAATGTGCAGTCCAAGGAGTTCAGTCCACAATAACTATCTAATTTTAGACCTGAAAAAATTTGAAGCAGTGAAACGAAACGGAAAATCTTGAGTAGGTGCTGTCCGCTAGTGGTGTTTTGGTGTTGACGTCAGGCAAACAGTAAACAACGTCATTCCGTCAACGCCACGCCCACACTTGAATTCCAAAACGGGAACGTAACGACCCTAAGGGTCCCACGTGGGCTCCCTCGTCCGTGCTCAAGTGGACACCAGCGTTACACACAAACTAATGGGAACGTAAATGAATTCTGAGAAAAGATAACAAGTTGGCAGTTCTGTCTGGGTGAGGTAACGTCTTGCCGATGGGCTGGTCGGAGCCCATCTCGTTATAAGGGAATCTTCGCCTTTCTTTGGATAGCCGTGGTTAAGCCTGGGCAGGGTGATTGTCGACCACACACCGTAACCTATGTGTAGATCTAATGCGTGCTCAATTACATCTACAATGCGAAAATAGAACTTGACGTGTGGGGCATCCTGAAGGGATTTTGGAGCTGATTTAATCAGCATATTCTGTTATCCAAAAATATAGATATAAATAAATGAAATGTATGGTTACGAATAGAATGACGAGTTTTTCTATGTAGCAATAGCATGTGCTGTGCAAACAGGCTTTTCGCAATCCTAATCCGATTTCAGTTTATCTTCAGCATCTTCAGATGAAGTAACAGCATTTTGCTTACCAAAGATAGCGTAAGCCTGTTCATGTGACCGCGTCGTCACACAGGAGCCATGATTGCAGATGATGTGGTGGATTAAAGTGTATGACATCAAGGACCAACCGTCCATTGTGCCAATTTTGAATTTTTGACAACTCCCCCCCCCTTTTTTTCATAGCGCATTATGCGAACCCCTTGTAATTAGCTTTTTATGTCTTTTTACGTAATTTTATGCCCATCATTGGGGTGTGGGTCGTCATCGACATGGAGGAAAGTCTGTACTCCATGCCCCTA